TCGAAGTATCTTAGTTCAACTTACCTCGCCATCCTCACGGCGGCAAGTCGACCGCCACGGCTCCACCATCGATTCCGCTTACTCCTCCTGCCGAGGTGGAGTATGGGTGTCGATTCAGGGATCGATTTATTGGGAATCAATGGTAAAATTCCCATTGACTTCAACATGGCCGGGATTTTACCCACCGTACATAATTCAAATGAACAATTTACACAGCTGGGTATTCCTGTAGCTCTCAATCCTTGCTGACGGAAAAGGCAGCATACGGATATTTTGAACAATAGCTGCCATCGCTGCTATGTTTAATGGACTGGTTCTTCTCCAGGATGATCCTCTCCAGACATCTTTACACTGAGGGAAACCGACCGTGAGCCAGATAATCTCCCAATTTCTGCTTCCTCCAACAGGTAAATCGTTCCAAAGGTAATCTGGCTCAAAACTGTGTGAGCCAGAGAGGCAGCAACAGAGGATTGATTCTTTCTTTCTCCCCAAGGCTGTTAGAGTGTCTGCCTTCAAGGGCCATGTTGTGAGATCAGTTCTTTGGGCCTCTGCTATTAGAACATCGATCTATCGAAGTCTCAATAATACACTAACTTTTAAAATGGTATGTTTTTTGTATGCATGGAGTTACTATGGCATTCTAGGTGTTTGGGTAGAGGAAGAAGGAAAAATGATGAGGCTTTGTGGAGACCGCTCTAAAGACTCAAAGAAAATAACAAGAGGTTTCTTTTATTCCCCAAAAAATCAATCTGTTTTCGTTTCTCTGCAATTTGTGCCATCTCTTTTGATTTTCAAGTATGTGTCTGAAGCTCGGTTGCAAGTTGAATGAAGGTTTTAAGAGCTTGAATCACAACAGTACGGTGAGTAAAATGCTCAGTTTTTATTGAAAAAATCAAAAGTGACAGTTATAAAATTAGTTCCATTGCTTTGATTGATTACTTGGAATATTTAGCTCAGAATGATTACATCAAGAAGGCCTGTTAAAGTTGAAGCTGGCACATAAATTAATTTAGGAAAAAATCTTCCTTTTTGAAAGAAAAACTCTTCTGCGGTGGTAAAGTGTTTATAACCAGAAACAGAGATAAAGAATCTTCTCAACAGTCAAGCTGGTGTGAATAATTAAACATATGGTACTGTGAATTAGTATTTGAGGACAAAGGGAAAGAATAACACAAAGATAATGTTATTGTGGCTTCACAGATCTCTGTTATCTTGAGATCAGTACTGGCCAGGAGGAAATGGAAGAGCTGTTAGCTTGCTGTTCAACCGTTGTGTAGTTTCCTCCTAATGGCCTTTCTATACTGTATGTCCCTACTGGGAAACTCTGCAAGTTTTGTGCATGTTGATGAGTCTTGAATCATAAGGATGCTCTTATTGGTGAGGAGGCAGTAGGTCAGGGGTCGGCAACCTTTCA